TAACAAATAGTAAGCACTAAAATACTAGTTTGAGAGTGGATCTCATTTTTGTAGCTGAATAGAATATTCTGATAGAACAGAAAAGCCAAGAAAATAGCGTTCACCTTTAGGAAGTGATTGCAAAACATTCCTATGGTTATAACCATCTTGTAATTAGTTTATAAAACATACCAGGCCTGTATTTTTTAAAATATTAACTTTTACATTTGAGATGATTATACATCCACATGTTATCATAAGAAATAACAGAGAGATTCCTTGTCCACTTTTGCCACTTTGATCTAGTTTGCCTCAGTAGTAACATTTTGCAAGACTATATAACTTCTGCCATATTTATGAATAAAATTCTACTAATAGACTCCATCTGGAATACTCTTGCAAGTCAGATAAATCAAAACAAGTGCAGAGGCCTACAGATAGTTCAAATCAGTGGAGCTGAAATGAAACTGGGAACAATGGTGCTGCAATAGGCTAATCAACTACAAATCTAGGTCTTTATGAATTTTAAAAGTAACTTTCAAAACATTAATTATATGACATGTATATAGTGTATATTGACATACTTTCAAATTATAAAATATTAGAAATATGGGGACTTCACACTTAGGCTACTTGGTAAACAGCAAGTGGTAAAGAGTTTAGACTATGAAGTCAGAGTGGGGAATTCCCCACTCGGACCTATCCCCTTTCCTCCAACCCCTCCACTAATCTGTAGCCATGGAACCTTCAGCAAATTGACTTTCCAAGTTTATTTCATCTTCTTTAATGTGAGGATAATAATGAAACCTACCTCATAGGATTCTTATGAGAATAACATATGAAAATGCATGCAATAATTTCTGATACAAGCCAGGAGGTCATCTAATTTTGTCATTCATTTAAAAGCTATTTAATGAGGTGTTTATAAACATCAGCACTACTGACTTTTGAGATCAGATAATTCCTCCCTGGGGGCTGGGGCTAGTCTTATGCATTGTGGGATAGTTAGCAGAATCTCTAGCCAGTACTTACTAGAAGTAGCCAATAGTGCCCACTCCTCAGTAGTGACAAATACTGTCTCCAGATATTGTAGAATGTCTCCAAAGGAGAGGGAAAAACAATAACAATAGTAATAACAAACCATAAACCCCCATTGAAACCATCATTTTAAAGGAACCAACTTAGGACAAACAAATGAAGTTCTATTTTCCACAGTAGTGGCTATTTTTTAGTAAAATAACAAGTGGTGCATAGTGAAAATGCAGAAAGATCCAAAAAGGGTTTGAAATCACATAAACACACACACACACACACAAAACAGTCCATAAAGCTTCTAAAATATATTTGGGGATTCTGTATACTCCTGAGTTTGGAGACTCTGTTCTTACTGACTTTCAAAGTCTCACTAGGGCAGCCCACCAAAAGGATGAAAAACCAAGGATTGGATAATCGGCCCCACCCTAGAAGGATACTTGAGATGCTTTCCTGTTCTAGAAATCCAATTATAAAGTTTTCTGCAACAAGAATATATTTCATGTTATCCCTAGTATGACACTGTGTTCTGGAGTGTGTCTGAACCTTCTTGCATGTCAGAATCACCAAGGGAGCTGCCAACAGAGATTCTCAGCCCTCAGATCTCCACTTTAGTTTTATTTTTATTCTCCACTTTAGAAAGTAAAAGTAAAGTTCATTTCTAATTATTAATTTATAAATTATTTAATAGTTATTATTAATAATTTCACTTTTAACAAAGTAAAAATTAAAGTACGTTCCCAATTAATTGGAAACTACTGGTCAAGTAGGAAGTTTCTTGAAATACGTGAGAGGTTAGTCAAGTTTTCTTTGACTCTGCCCCACTTCAAAGTCTGCATTAGGATGGGACCTACAGATTATACAGAACTCTTTATTAGAATAATTATAGACTGCAAATGGATATACTATATTAGTAGTATCTTAACTAAATGAAAAATTCAATCTGAAAATCAAAATTTTAGCCAAAAGGAATTAGAAACTGCTATAAAACTATTGCTTCTAGTAATAGGTCTCAAGTCATTGCTGTTGACAGTTTTTGCTAAACCTTCATACCATCAATTATCCTTGGTGAGACAGAATAAGAGTTATGCTTAGTCATGTGGAATGTCAAACAGTCCTTCTGCATACTTTGAAAATAGCAGGCAGTTAATATGGCAATCCTCATTCCATTTTCCATTCAATGACACCAGAATAGATGCTTACTAATTCCATGGAAGAAACATTTATTTTAGCTATAAGAGGCTATTGATCTAGTTGGAATAATTTTTCAGCTTATTATGTAGGTTTCCATCTCAGTCAGTTTAAGTTGCTATAACAAACTACCATAGACTGGGTAGCTTATACATAGGAGAAATTTACTTTTTACATTTCTGGAGGCTGGAAGTCTGAGGTCAGTATGCCAGCATGGTCAAGTTCTGCTGAGGATCCTCTCTCAGGTTGCAGATGGCCGACTTCTTATTGTATTCTCACATGTCAGAAAGAGAGCAAGCTAGCTTTCTGGACTCTTTATGATGGCACTGATCCCATTTATGAAGGCTCCATTCTCATGACCTAATTACAACCCCAAGGCCCTACATCTAAGTACCATCACACTAGGGATTAGATTTCAACATATGAATTTTGTGGGGACACACAGATTCAGCCTAGTAGTTTCTATCTCACAGTATGTGGTTTGCAACCTCTTGACTAGTGGATCCCAATACTCAGGAGTGTTTATGAAATATGAAGAATCCAGGACTTCTACCTCTGACTGTTAATGAAGCCTGAGAATCTCCACAATCAACAAAAAGCTCTTCCAACATAATGGCTAAGAAGGTTCTAGAACATTGCTGAAAACACAAGGTCCCTATGGGGTGCCATGAAGAGAATTATTTTTAAGTTACTATAATATATTACAGACTTATGATCATTTGCACTAATATTATATGAACACCTATTGGCAGGGACTTACCCATCAAAATCCCCACAGTTTCAAGGTATTAAAAAAGAATCACTCAAAATAATCTGTTTAGAGACCCCCAAGTTAGAAACAGCAGATCTGAGAATATGTTTCTTCCTGCTGAAACACACATGGATTAGAAAATGTATGGACTTCCTATAAGAATGCACACATTTTAGAAACCAGTGAGACAAAACCATCCCATATTTTCAATCATGAAAGTATCTTACAAATGCCTGTAACTTTGACAATGTCTCTGCCAAATGACATATGCCTTAGATCTCTGAAAACAACAAGTTTTCTAGATGTTTCTAGAGTCTAGTGCTCTAAGATTCTCTTAGAAGGGCTCTGAGATAACTCAAATTTATCTACATTTTGGAAAATCCAGCATCCAAATCACAAGCCTCTTCTGTAAGAAGCCTTTGCCCATTTCTGACATTTGATACTTAACATGAACTGTATGGCTGAGTCTCCTTCATGCTAGCAACCTCACCACAAACCGGTATTTATTTTCATTTTAGAAAGAGTGTTAATAAGCTTTTAACATAATGTCTAGCCAGAATGAGAAAATTCAACACTATTATTGATATTTAGAAATAAAAGTCATGATTTAAAAATATATATATATACATATATACATATATATCTCCAACATGCAACAAATATTGAACCCTCTTTGCTAGACACTACTATAGCTAATCAAAAATGTCAGATAATTCTGAAGTTAATGAGGATCTGGCTTGAGACTTCTTTATGTGTTTTGTATGCTATTTGTTTGGAGAAGGTAGAATATGAGGTTGTGGGAGAGAAAAAGGACATTGTCAAATACCCTAACTTAAACCCCTGATCAGGGCCTCACCCAATTTTTGCATTTCATCCAAACATAGTGGCCAACAGAGCAATAGCATTCACAATACAACAAGGACAGCCAACTTCCCAACAATGTGTATCCATAGTAATTGACCATTTGTAGTAATGTCATACTAGGAGGCCTTCCTTAGTGTCCTTACTATAACTAGTATTATTTCAAAAGTCACCTTAAAGATTTAATAAAACATACATAAAGTGCTTAAATAGTTCTTAGATCATAAAAAGGTTTAAATAAAAATAGTAGCTACTCTTGGTTGTTCCTATTAGCCACTATTATTAATAATATACATCTCAACACTGGAGATGACTGTTTGGCCTGCTTGGACCACCTGGGACTGCTTTAAACAGTAGTGTCTTAAATGTACTATTGCTAATGGTATTGTAATAGATTACCTTTGTAGATCTCTTCCTTCAACTCTTGGAGATTAAGGATGTCTTATAAACAAGCTTACCTAAGTCTATTTCTACTATCTATCCAGAAAGCAGTCTGCAAGACTCTGACCAATTTGTTTTAGAAAACACAAGCTAGGATCTTATTTCTACTCATATAAATTAGTGCTTCTTTCTGCTCTAAGTCTTTCTGGGAGCATTAATTTGTCAACCAATATATCACCCTCAGGATTAAAACTACAGTAACAGAAATACACTAACAGACTTAATTTTGAGACTTTTTGACACATAAATTAGTGCAAAAAATATTGAGACAGAACAAGAATAAAGGATCCAAATGAGTGAATAGTAGAGCACTTATCTCCACTTCTCCTGTCTTGATGGGTCATCTTATAAGCATTGAACAAGAAAAGAGGAAGTAGTGTTGAAACTCCCTCAAATATATCAGGAGTTCAAAGACAGACAGCATAGAGCATCTAGGTTCAGTGATATAAAATAACACACCACCCCTTTTTCATAAGAGACCACATAAGAAAACCCAGATGAGAAGGTATATGGGTGATTTCACCTGACTGACACCCATTTAAAAGTCTGACTTTTGGTCTGAGCCAGAGAGATCTATGTTGCAGCAGATCTTAATTCCTCCCGTTTCCTCTCAGCACCTTCTGGGCAACACTTGGGCTCTCATGTATCACCATTTCTTTCAGGGGCTCAGGTGAAAGATGAAGCAGCAAGAGGATGAACTATCTTGAGAGTATGATCTGGGACATCCCCAAACCCTGCCTCTTACCTGCAGAATCTGCCTCATCGGCAGGCACACTTTGGGTTGTCACGGGGGCTGGCTCCTTGATTCCATGCACCTGGGGAGCTTCTTCCTGGTTTGTCAAAAATGCAGAACACAGATCAGATTCGAGAGCTTGGAGCTTCAGGAAGGAATTCTGCCAGCAAAAGCAGAACATCAGGCCAGCTAAGTAGATGCCTAACACACAACGGTGGGTCTGCAGCTCCTGCAGGCACCTTTCTCCAGTGCCTGGCAGGAGGGTATCGTGGAATAGCGGCTTCAGAAACAGAGCTGGTTGTGCCTCAATCAGATGCGCATTATTCCACATGCAGCCTCAGTTCCTGCCTCATTTAAATCCTAATGTATATGGATTATCAGTGACCCATGGGACTGGCGATTGATTTCGTCAGCAAACGACGCTGCATCTGGAGAACCAATCTCAGAAGGTATCTGCTTCCTGAGCGCTGAGCCTTTACGCTTTGCAAGTGTTTCATTCATTGTGCTGACATCAGGAGTCGGTGACATTAGGCCCCTCCCAGGCTACCATTCATAAAAGCCATCGTCCCTCCAATGCAAAGACTGCAGCAAACCGCAGTGCACAAAGAGTTACTGCTGCAGAGGCTCCCTGGCATCTGGGAGGGGCTTCAGGCTCCCTCATCCACACTGTGGCTGTGTGTGCATCTTCTAAAGTTACTTCTCTCACATGGGATGGCTGCAGCTGTCTTGTATCAAGAACAGGGTGAGGGAGACAATCTTGGTCCCTCAGTTTAACCTAATCACAGAGGGAGAAGCAATTTATCTTTCTTAGCCCCCAGTACAATCTCATGCCCACTCCTTTCATTTCTCATTTTAAATTTCTCCCATGTTCTTACTAAGAACAAGTCATACAGACTGACGCACATATCCTGCCATGATGCAGATGCCCAGAAAACTAATTGCCCTAATGAGGTGAAAGTGAGTCATGCCCGAGGCTCTGGCTGAGTGCTGCTCCTTGACAATGGGCAAGCCCTGCGGGTCTCAGGAACTCTTCCACCCACCTGGTTCCAGTTCCAGCAAGAATAGCCATAGAGAGCAAAGAAAATGATCCTTTTCCTTCTATAACCTCCCAATATACACATGCTCCTACTCACATACTACCTTCCACACAGCCAAGCACCCTCCTCCACGGCTCTACTCCATACCTCATAGACGCCCTTATCCCTATCCCTCATCCATATATCCTATTCCACACACACACGTACACCCCCCTTCATACCCAACCCACTCTCTCTACTCCACAAACACCCTAACCCACAAATGGCCCCCTTCTTCTGCCTCACGCACTCCTCATACCCTACCCCATAAACACCCTCACACTCAACTGTCACTCATACCATAGTCTACACACATAAAACACCTCCCCACATTCATACCCTACCTACCATACACTCACATACCAACCCCATACTCTTCACCCTGTGACAAATATACACCCCATTCCTGATTGCCCCACATACCTACCTCTCCCTCATAATACCCAGTACCTCACACCAACACCTATTACTTCATATCTTATTCCAGAAACATATACCCCCATACCCCACACATATTCTCATACTTGGTCTCACACCAACACTACTACCTTCCATTCAATACCAACTCCCACACAGTCAGCCTTAACCCTTCTGTTGACATGAGTAGCTATCAGGCTATACCAGTGTTTTAAAATCTGTTCACCAAGCAATGTCTTAAATATTAGCTCCTCTGCCGCTTGGAAAGCAGTGAGCGCCTTCTCTGCCAGATATGGGGCAGGATCTGAAAAAGTTTTCTAGTGCTCAGAGGCTGAGAGAACACAGCTCAGATGAAGCATCTGCCTAAGACCAGACATTTTATGACTCCCTCCTCCTCCCTGAGAGTTTTCCCAGCAGCTGAGTGCAGGAGCAGGAGCTCCTGAGTGTTAACGGGAGGTACAGAATGAGCAAGGGCACGGAATTTCTGGAAAGATTTAGTAGTTAGTAACCAACCAGATGGCATGCAAAAGAATATCAGACAAATTTCCTACCGGAGGGCCTTGGAATTAGAGTGACCTCTCAAAAAGAGCAAAACTGCTCTGAAAATTTAGAAATAATGCCATGGGAAAGTAAAATGGTGCCGTCACTATGGAAAAAGTATGGTGGGCCTGAAAATATTACAACTAGAATTATCATATAATTCAGCAATTCCATCACTGTGTATATACCAAAAACAATTGAAAGCAGGGACTTGGACAGTTATTTGTATACCTATGTTCAAAGCATTTTAACAGCCAATAGGAATATTATAGACTAAATGTCTCTCTCCAAAATTTATAAGCTGAAGCTCTAACCTCCAATATGATTGTATTTGAAGACAGGACCTTTAAACAGGTAATTACCTTTAAACCTAATCCAATATAACTAGTGTCCTCACAAGAAGAGGAAAAGACACCAGGGATGCTCCCACAGAGAGAAGGCCACATGAGGACCCTGTCAGATAGCAAGTATCTATAAGCTAAGGACAGATGTCTTAGGAGAAACCAACACTGCTAACACTCTGATCTTGAAATTCCAGCCTTCAGAACTGTGAAAAAATAAGTTCTGTTGTATAAGTCATCTCATTTATAATATTTTATTAAGGCAGCCCTCAAAAACTAATACAAAAAGGAAGCAACTCAAAATGTCCATGGAAAGGTAAACGGATAAACAAAATGTGGCATATACTTGTAATGGAACATCACTCAGTATTAAAAAGAAAATTCTGACACATAGAAAAACTCTGAGGACATTATGTTAAGCAAAATAAGCCCAGTCACCAAAGGATGAATACTGTATAATTCCACTTATGTAAGGTCCTTACAATAGTGAAGTTCATGAGACAGAAAGTAGAATAGTGGTTGCCCAGGGCTGGCAGTGAGGGAGATGGGGAGTTATTTTTTAATGGGCACAGAGCTTCAGTTGTATGCAATGAAGAGAGATCTGGGGATGAATGGTGAAGATGGTTGCCATCAATATAACCCTACTAAAAACATACACTTAAAAGTGATTAAAATGTCAAGTTTTATATTATATATATTTTATAGCATTAAAAAATGAAAGATAAAAGGGGATAGACCTTTTACCTATAATTCTTTAAAAAATAAAGTTGTGGTACCAGCAGCCTGGCTCAAACTCATATGTGCTGTTTATATTCCTGCAAAGTAAAAGAGGGCACAGATTTCAGGTTCCTAAAGAAGTAGAAGGGACATCAACTCTGTTGTGTACTGTGGCTGACTTTAGGCAAGCATCCTGGCTATTCCAAGCCCCAATTTTTCATTTGTAATAAGAGGCAAAGATAACAGTCATGATGGCATTTGCTATGAGGGCTGCTCAAGAACATAATGCGGGAAGGCAGGTACTTTGCAGAGCCACCAGCATGAGGCCCATCCTCCAGCACTGGACTTCGTGATGAGTATGAGCATCTCCAAACCCTAGGCGTCAATGGGAAAGCCCTGACCGTATAGTAAGGACATACTCCACACTGTCTCTGAAGCCTCCACCTGTTGCTCCACCTCTTAGGTCTCACTTCTGTACCTGCACAGCAAGGACCTCAGGGTAGATGACTTGTAAGTCTCCTTCCAACTTGAAGGGAGAGAAAAAGCAATGTACTGAGGATTGAGACCCAGAATCTGGAACCAATGGGTACTTAGACTATGGAATGGAACAAAGAGTTCATGCAACATGAACATTAAAAAAAAAATCTCATTGCATACAAGTACATTATACTTCATATTCAGAAACTTCTGAATCCCCTTAGAGACAGAGGTGTAATTCTGTGACCCCATAATGATTAGAAGTATGAACCAGTTGCTCTCTTCCATCTCCCTCTGCCATTTTCTCCTTCACTTATACTCATCTGAATAGGATTTTGAGTGCCACAGATCTATTTGCATGGCTGGTTTGCTTAAAGGAGTGGGAAGAGAAAAGAACTGGCAAATGGAACAGGAGAGAGAAGATGAAGGTCTCAAGAGTCAAGAAGATCTTCAAGTAGAAGGGAACACATTATTGCTATAAAGTACAAGAAGACAGAATGGAAGAAACTCTGCAGATCATCGGCTCTCACATCCCAACCCTGTACTGTCCCATGACCTGACGACAACCAGCCTTTTGGCATTACAGGATACTCTTATGTCATCCTGAACAGAAGGTGGGAACTGGGACACCCCATATGGGTAAGGTCCACGACAGGGTACCTTTCTTGGTGACCAGGTAAGCCAAGGACGGGGGGAGGGCAGACTTACCTAGGAAGAGTCTATAGCAACGTTGCATGCATGTCTTTCCTATGGACAACAGGAGACTTCTAGCCTGTAGTATCAGGACTGAGCCCCATAGAGTCACACCAAGAAGGTTTATGGGCAGCTCTCACCACACAGGCAGGGGTCATGTCCCTCTGGCAGACATGGTGCTACTATGCAGTGCTCATGCTAAGGCAGCTTTCAGTGCACAAAGAGCCTTACTAGGCTCCAGAGTATGAAATGAACATCAGCCCCTTCCTTATGGGGCCTCTAGTCCAGTGTAAAAATAAGTGAGCAAATGAGTAACAATGACATTTATCATTTTTTAGGGCTATCCAGGAAAGAAATGGTGAGCCCATAAAGAGTGTCAAAACTGCCATTTCACTATTCTGACATGCCTAACCTGTGATCTTTAATACAAGAATGTGCTTTGCCTTCTATAGAAGCATGATGAAGTACCCTACCTCACTTGTGATTCAAGTGCTACCTCAGTCCATCCCTTCTCGCCTGGGACTTCTATTCCCTGTGAGACTAACTGCCCCAGCCAATCATTCAGAGCCAGCCTGCTAATGCTCTTCCAGGTTTATATCCAAAGTCTCCATGGATGGATACCTAGAATCTTTAGAAAAAATGAGTAAGGGTTCATGGATTCAATAAAGAATGATGACTGTCTCCGCCTCTTAACTGTCCCATCTGGGTAACAAAAAATGAGAGAGAAGTCCTTGAAACCTACGTGTGGTTTTATAAAAGCTAATTTTTCTCTTTTACATAATGGAGAATATGCTTCTTGTTTTAGAAAATACTCATTTTCTCTTCTCTACAATTAC